GCAAAGCAACACAGCCAATCAGAGCCGAAGATGCCCACCAAACCCACAGCACTTCACCACTTGCCTACACGACCAGGTAAAAATAATCTCAGCTCGCAACCGCACGAGCCAAACCCACAGCTCTTTATAAACCCAGACTGCAAGAGTAAGGTAGACACCACACACACACACACACACACAACACCCCTCGTTTGTTGACATCTCGCCGCCGGTGGCCATGGAGGGGTCCTTCATCACGACGGAGCTCGGCGACACGCTGGCCAAGGTGGCCGTGTTCCTGCTCGTCCAGGGTCTCGTGTTCCTGATCCTCAGCAACTCGTCGGACGTCTTCTCCAAAGATAAGAAGCTCAGGTCGCTGAGCTTCCGGTCGATGCGGTCCATGAGCGTGAGGCGCGTGCTCGCGCCCTCCTCCGATGTGCCCGTCGGCACCGACGAACCCTCCTCGCCTTCGCTGCTGTCGTCGTGGTAGTCGCGCCGCTCTGCTAACAGCGAGGATTGAATTGCTTGGAGAGTTAGCGGTTGCTTAGTTCTGAACGTATGGACAGTTCCCCTGTTCTGAGTTGTCGTGGATTCTTAGGCTCTGTTCGGAGTCACTACAACTCCTAAAAATACGATGAGCTGCGGAGCTTCCCTTTCCCAACTCCATGCTTTTTTAACTCCAGCTCTGGGAGTGGAGTGATGGAGTGGAGGGTCTCCGAACAGGTTCTTATTGTGGATTTGTGGTTGAGATCTGAGAATCATATTTGAACTCCCATTATGTTAGATTAGGTGGGATCTGTATATGTAGATATGTACATTGAATTGAATTTGGTGGATGGATTATTTGATTCTAAAAAAAGTGTCTGCTCTCAGTTGTGATTATGGTTCTTGAGTTTTTGTTTCGTTTGTAGTAAACTTCAGTTCCCGGTTAATACACCAGCCAATACAACACCGAGAGCAACTTTAATGGGAGGACCCTTGTCCGTTTGAGTCATCCGGACAGAAAATGTCGCCCAACGGGGTGATCCAAATGGACGTCCGTGCCCGCCTGCTGTTCGTCTCCGACCCAAACCTGACCCAAATCTGGAAACAAATGGGTACGAAGCGGACGAAAGCAGACGCTCTCGTCCACCGCTGTCGCCCGCTTGTGTCCGCCCCGGGTCCCATATGTCAGCGACTGCATTTTTTGCCTCCACAACACCATTGCGATTTCTGCCCCCACAACGCCCGCTCGGCCGCTCCTCGGCGACGTGCGCTTGGCCGCTCCTCGACGACGTGTGCTCGGCCGCTCCTCCGCGCTGGAGCGAGGCCACCGGCGCAAGTCTCCTCCGCGCGCTCGGCCGCTCCTCCGCGCCGCAGCGAGGCCGCCGGCGTAGGGCTCCTCCGCGCGCTCCTGCTGGGGCTCGAGGCCCGGACGACGGCACGAGCAGAGGGTGGTTGCAGCAGAAGGCGCGAGCAGAGGCGCAAGGAGGAGAGGAGGGGCGGCGCGAGGGAGAGAGAAGGGGCGGCGTGAGGGAGATAGAACGGGCACCGCGACGAGGAGGGGACGGGCGGCACGAGGGAGAGAGGAGGGAGCGGGCGGCGCGAGGAAGAGAGAAAGGAACAGACAGTTTGGGTCTGCTTTTGTGCCGCGCATTGGATAGAACGCTTGTCCGCCCCATGTCCGCTAGGCAGACAGGTGACCCAAACGGACACGAAACGGACAAAACCCGTGTCCGTTTGGGTCTTTGCGATGGAGTTGCTCTGAGGTATTTAGGTAATTCTTACACTACCATTCCGCATGAATGATGAGCTATCTCAATCTAAAAAGAAAGTAATTCTTACACTAGACCAGCAATATTAGTCTGTTCTGCTGTATTACGTTTTTTTCACTCGTGCACTTACCAATGGGACCCACCGGCCAGGAATCTTGTCAAGAGAGCCAAACAATGGTTTAGAGCTACACGCAAAACCCGTAAACTATGTGTTCTGCGCAAAATTGACCTCGATAATTAATCATTTTGTGATATCCTCATTTTAATGACATGACAAAATAAAACCCAACCCTAGAAAATGAGACAAAAAAACTATGTTTGACTCAAATGACGAAATAGGTCATCACATTCCATAACATAGACTTTTGTTTTAGAAAAGGAGGACGACCCCCGGCCTCTGCATCTGGACGATGCATACGGCCATTTTATTAATTATTAACACAAGACCTTACAGATTCATACATCAGTATGACTAAAGCCACCAACTAAGCAACATTTGTCGCTATCCCTATCCAGTTGATGTTGGGGTGCAGAAAGTCTGGGCATAATACCAAACAGAACTCACAGCCAAACCTAACATCCAAGACTTGAGGTCCCAACCAGGACGCCTGCCGGGTATGGGCACCCACCAGTCCGGCGTGCTCCTCAACCAGGACGCCTGCCGGGTATGAGGCCGCCGCAGCCACGTGCCACCAATCCATCTTCAGAGTTGTACTGCTGCATCAATCTTGTCCGGTCTAGCTGCCGCCGACGCCACCATGACGCCAGGCAGCGTCACCCTCCTGCGCGAGTTCATCTTCGTCCATCAGGCGTCGAGTCTCCACTGCCCCACGCCGTCGAGATCCGCCGTAAACAAGGACCTATGGCATAATCATATATTGGATCTCAAATTTCAATGTTAAAAACAAGTATCATGAAATCGCGTATATTCATTTAAAAAAGCGTAAACAAGCACACATCTCCCGAGCCGCTCGCTAGCTACTCGTGGGGTGACTAAGAAATTTGTTGTAAATCTTCATATGATACTTCTAAGGGTAGGGTGGCTGTTTTGGCTCTGGGGACCATGTGCTCCTTGATGAACAGTAAATTCAAAACAAACAGAAAATAAAGTTTTAAATTCTGATTTTTTTGTAGATGTTCATATTAGTGTAACAAGCATGCTTGACATTTTTCATGCGAAACGGGATAGCAATGCTTCGTAAGTGAAAAAATTAATTAAGTGCAACATTTGACGTTCAACTTGTCTTTTTATACATGCGAAAATGCTTAAGTTTTCCGCCTAAAAATTTACATATAGCATTTCGGTGTGACAATGAACACATCTATTTGTTTCGGAATTTTTTTACATTTGTAAAATACATTTTTGGCACGCAGTAGCATATCCTCCCGAGAGCCAAATAGGTTTTACGGTTTCTAAGCTATTTCATACAAACTAAACAAATATCTAACTCTAGTGCTGTCAACAGCCGAAGCAAAGCAACCGGTGTGTATTTGGTTGTACCATATGCATAATTTACTTCAAGCACAAATGCCGCAAATGAGAAGGTAACTATGAATATAGCAACTTATCATTTCATTAACTAAATCTATCTTAGTTAGAATTTAACCTTATTATTGTAGAGTTTGGCAAAATTAGACTCAAAGACATTGACTGTGATTTACCTTAGAGGCATTCGAGGCCATCCCAGCTTTATTTTATACCGGAAAAGGTTTTTGCCCCACTTTATAAACAAAGCAACCACCAGAGCTAAGGTCCAACAAGGTTCATGCCGCACACAACGCACACAAACACGCCGTTACACCAGGTTCTGCTGAGGGCACACCTCAACAATCCCAAGAAAGGAACAAAAAAGCTTTATTTTATAAGTTTGGCTCTTCATCTTAATGGCTGAGTTATGTGCTGCTTATGTAGTTGAGCAGAGGAAAACCATATAAAAAATGTTTCTTATGTGTATTTCCCTACACTTGTGTCATATTTTTCTTCCGAAAAAGCTGGAGCTTCGTATTAATCAAACATCATAGTTACAAGGAAACTCCTAAAAGAAAAGGAAAAATACAATCTAGTCCTCAGCCAATCCTCTACTGGTCTACCCTCTCTACCCCGCGCGTCTCGATGGCGTGTGGATGTTGCTGCCGTTGAAGTTCCATATAGTCACTGATAAGAAGTACTATCCATGCGACCAGCCGGGAAGTGACGGTGACGTCAATCCTGAAAGATCCACGGCTCAGAGAAGAACAAGACGCTACGATGATAAAAAAAAACCTAGACACCCGCCCGAGCTGATGGAGTAACCAAATCGGCTTTGTTGCTCCCAAAGCAACACTGACCCGACGAAGACAATGTCAATTTTGACAGAGTTGATGCTTATGTTTAATCTAGCTTCTTCATAATTTTGAATATATGTATGTGCACCCGCAGAAAAAAGAGAGAAGAATATATGTACGTGCGTGCTTGAGATGGATGATGTATGGATGTGAACAGGTTTGTTGTGAACAATTCAATTTTGAATATTTCTTCTTTTTCAAGTGATATAGCTACAAGGACATGGAAGGTTTTGACAAAAAACCCCCCCGAAAAAACTAGCACCAATTTCCTTTTTATAGCAACTATCTTGATGGACAAGGTATGAGAGACAGTTTCACCCATACAATAGTCATGGACACCTAACAATCCAAGACAACTACAAAAGTTCAAAACCATCAGTTATAGGTACCTATGCGAGACGGTTGTCAATCAACAACTGTCTTCAATAGGCATCAGGCGGCCGAGACGGTCACCTACCGATAATTGTCATGAATAGGCACTTGCGGTTGGAAAACCCGCCCTTAGCTTTACGTGGCGATTGCCTAGAATTGCTGCCATAACTGTAATAGACTGGTATATTTTGCAACCGCCTCAACATGATGTTTTGTATTAGTGAAGTACAAACACGATTTGTTTCTTCTTACCTTGGTGTATAAGAAAGATTGCTTCGAAATGTATGCAACATAATTCTAGGCTTTTATTTAGAGGATTGCAAAAACGTCATAATAGAAAGATTACTCAATATCCGAATGTCATGTTCACTTGATTCATAAAGGATTGTATTTGCACCAAACTTTATCCGATTAAATTTATAAAGGATTCTATTGCCCCTAATTTTATTTGATTAAATCATGAGAGACACACATAAATCTTTTCATGAGGGTCATCTTTTCAGAGGATTTCCGAATGATATCCCCATAGTTTTTCGTCCCCGGCTGTAAGATCATATAGTCGTCCTAGTATTACATAGGAAGTAGAGTGCCACGACGAAAGTCGACTGGCTCAGTAGACAAAGTGTGTGTCAGTGGGACAGCTTGGGAGGCGCGGAGGCCTAGCGATCAGCATGCTGTCGCCACAACGAGTTAGCATCAGCATCGATCAATCAACTCACGCGTTCTTGTTGCTTCATCAAGACGCACCGTCCATTGCATCCCTGCGCGCATAACTACCATTCAATCCCTAGCTAACCGCCCGCTCCGTCCGTCGGCCTCCTCCGATCCGTGTTTCTTCTCTCCAGTAATGGTGCTACCTAGAGGCTATATATAGGGGATTGGTTTTGGTTCCGTGGTGGCCATGCAACTAGCAAGACTTATCTAATGAAGTCATAACAATTCAAGATTTTTGCCATATCAATCGCTTAAAAACAAATGAAGTCTATCGATTGACTTCCATGGTGCAGTTCAGTCAGCGATAGGATCAGATTACCCAACAATTTGTGATGAAAACAATGTAAGAACTTATAAAGAAGTCATAGTAGAATATTTTACAATCAGCGAACACATATCCTAGTCCTACTATGGGTACCATCATCACAGATATAGATTGGAAGCATATGTGGATCACGTCCTTCTCTTGGTATATATGGCTCATGTCCCTGGCTCAGGGTTCTCCACTCCTCATCGGTGCGGTCGCTGAACATGTTGATGCCGAAAACTGCGTCGGGGCCGAAGGCGGCCTTGTGCAGATCGGCGTCGCGGAGTTTTTCCTTGAAGATAGCGTAACGGCGATCCTCCTCGCGAGCGGAGCTGTACTTCCTGCCGTGCTTGGCCTTCCACTCGGCAAACACCCGCCAAGTCTCCTTCTCGCTCATTTTCTTGCCGTGCCCTGCCTTAAACTCCGCCAAGACCCGATGGTGCAGCTCCCTGTCCGTCGTGTTCGCCACCGCCGCCGCCAGGGATACCAGCAGCAGCAGCAGCGCTGCCACCGCCATGACGGCCGTTGGGGGGCTCCTCATCGCGACGGAAGGTGGGTTTAGGGTTAGGGGTATGTGCGTGCAGTTGTTGGGTAGGTCGTCAATCGCGTGTGTGCTCTTCGATCAAACTCTGGATTTGGCGAAGCTCGGTGCTGTATGTATGTATCCAGAAACAAGAATAGAAACGTCGGATCAATCCTTGGAACCACCTCGTCCGTCGGATCAAAAAAAATCACTGCTGGAATGAATAGTTACCGTCTCATTCGTGCCACCGCGCGTAATTACGCTGCCCTGCCGAGGGCATTTTCGTCATTTCGCATCCTCCAGTATAAAATGGGGCCGCTCTATGGAGAGAACCCTAGCCGTCACTCCCCGTCCCGCCCCGCCGTCTCGCTCGCCCCGCCCCGCATTCTCGCTCGCCCTGCCCCGCCGTCTCGCGCGCCCCGCCCTGCCCCGCCGTCTCGGCCGCCCCGCCCCGCCTGTCCCGCTCGCCCTCGCCGTGGCCGATGACCGCGGCCCCGTCGTCCCGCCCCCGCTCACCGTGGCGATGCCCCGCCGCCTCGCCCTCTCTCTCCCCTTCCCCGCCCGCCCCGCTCGCCGTGGCCGGTGACCGCACCACCAAGGACCACCGTGCGCAGACCTTGGCGCAGACCCGTGCCCTCGTGCGACGGCGGCGGCAGATCCTTCCTCAGTGCCACGCCGCGCCGCGATGCCGCTGGCTTGGAGGCCCGTGTTCAGCAGCCGCCGCGGCGTCGTCGGCGCCGGATGCGGTGGCAGGCTCTCAGGGGACCGCTTGGCAGGGGGGGCCGTAGCGGGTTCCGGCCGTCCTCCTCACCATTATCACGCAGCGATCCTCCCCGCCCTAGCGCGGCCTCTGACCTCGACGGTGGCTGCTAAAACCGCAGGTCTCTCTCTCTCTCTCTCACTCTCTCCACTGCTGATCCCCCTTTTTGCAGCTCAGTATGCTAGGGAACGGATTCACAGTCACAATGGAGAACTGGGTGTGACATCCAGCCTCAGGTTGGTATTCTACCCCTCTGAGATGTAATCTTGTGTGCTGCAGTCTAACTTGAGGAGAGGGATTAACAATTTTTGTTTTCTTCTTGTGGAGGAGATTCTCTGATTTAGCTAGGTTCCAAAGAAGAGATTTTTCTTTGTCTTTCTTGATTTGTTTGTACCTTGCTGCCAACGAAGGCCTTGGATCTAGCTAATTATTTACAGAGCATATGTTTGTTGCCTTGCTTGGCTTGTTGGCGGTATTCTGCTCTATGTCCGTGTATGCGTAGAGGTGCTAGCTAAGATACATCTGTATGCATATATGTGTGTGTTTTCTTTGCTTCGGCTGAAGATGTACTGATTTTGCCCCAAAAGAAGCCATAAATATTGCAATTTGCTTGATTCCCACTTGTGTTATTGTTAAGCATGATTTCTTTTTTTCCAGGAGCTTATGTGATGTGTACATGTGTTGGTGCCTTTACAGAAGATCAATTATGCCTCCCTCTCGGTAAGCACGACAAGCTTTTACTTGTACCCTGAGACATGGTGTGGATTCTGTCAATATTAGGTTCTCAGCTACATGGAAGTGATAGTACATTTTAGTTCTCCATGCTTATTATCATTCTTGACAATTTTATATTTGCAGTGTTAGAAATTTTCAGTTCTCCATCCATGGTAACTATCAATATATAAGTCCAGTTCATGCTCTTCTAATTATACATGAGGGTATGAAAAATCCACACTCTTATACATTACTACTACTTTACTTCATATATGTGTCTTGATAAATATGTGAAGGACGTGAGGTGTCGCTGATGAGACCTTTGTGTTGGCCGGTGATCATGGGCAATGTTATATAGTTAGTCTGATATGTTATATGGTCCAGCTAGGTTCGAAGGAAGGGGATCTTTGGATCAGTCCCATATTCATGTTAGTTTTATAACAAATCGGTGAAAATTACCTCTATGTGTTGTTGCTTCAAGTTGAAGTTTGGTCACTTGTTTTTAGGTCTACCCTGCCGTCATTTCTATAAAAATAAACAAATTCTTTATTTATAGTCGACTGCCATTTTCCTTTTGGCTATGTGTTGGTCGCCCCTCATCCGTGGCTGCTCGCAGGCGCTCCCGCAATGCCGCGGGTAAATCTGGTGGTGGCCATAGCATTGCCAGCGGCTCTGCCTCTTGCGGTGACTTTGTAGAATACAGGTCAAGTTTAAAGCTTTCGACCGCGATGGCTGAAAAACCAAAGTAAATGCATCATATATATTAAAATAAATGCATGCGAATCATAGAAAATATGGTAAGCACCTATCCTGCAATTTAGGACTGGCGTGGTGTTGCTCTTTGTTGATAGAAATCATACTTGCATAGCTGTTTGATTGATTTGATTATAATCAAACTGCACCGTCATAATTTTAATACTGTGATTATTCAAATAAAAAATGATCAAAGAAATACATGTACCAAAGTCGCATTTGTTGAGATCATGAGTAGTCATAAAATTCTTGGTCATTATGTTTTTACATTCCTGGGTTGTGTGCATTTTCCAGAAATAAGAATAGAAGCTCCTCAACCCGCTCCTCAGTGATTTGGGATTCCTGGCCGTTGGATCTGGTTGCTTGATGGATCTTGGACCGTCGGATCGACCCCTGGAACGACCTCGCTCGTTGGATCAAAAAAAGTTACTGCTGGAATGAATAGTTACCGTCTCATTCGTGCCACCGCGCGTAATTACGCTGCCCCGCCGAGGGCATCTTCGTCATTTCGCATCCTCCGGTATAAAACGGGGCCGCTCTATGGAGAGAACCCTAGCCGTCACTCCCCGTCCCACCCCGCCGTCTCGCTCGCCCCGCCCCGCCCCGCCGTCTCGCTCGCCCCGCCCCGCCTGTCCCGCTCGCCCTCGCCGTGGCCGATGACCGCGGCCCCATCGTCCCGCCCCGCTCGCCGTGGCCGGTGACCGCGCCACCAGGGACCCCGGCCACTCGATGAGGAGGCCTGGACCTTGGCGCAGACCCGTACCCCCGTGCGGTGGCGGCGACAGATCCTTCCTCAGTGCCACGCCGCGCCGCGATGCCGCTGGCTTGGAGGCCCGTGTTCAGGCAGCCGCCGCGGCGTCGTCGGTGCCGGATGCGGTGGCAGGCTCTCAGGGGACCGCTTGGAAGGGGGACATCAGCCTCAGGTTGGTATTCTACCCCTCTGAGATGTAATCTTGTGTGCTGTAGTCTAATGTGAGGAGAGGGATTAGCAAATTTTGTTTTATTCTTGTGGAGGAGATTCTCAGATTTAGCTAGGTTTCTTCTTGTGTAATTCCAGTGCCCCGCCGAGGGGCTGTAGCCGGCCGGTCGGAAGCCATTCTTTTTAGGGCGATGATGATTAACCATGGCTGAAATAAGTGTGCCTTTGAGCAATCGAGGCACCTGTGGGTATCAAGTTGGATCCTCCCTCGTGTCTCTAGAATCCTTTTTGATCTTGTGATACCTGTTGTTCTGCCCTTGGATGGTCATTCTTGTTGAGTGATAACCAGGACAGCTCGACTGTATAAACAGATTGATCTGGTGATAAGAGATAACGGGGTAGGTAATATGATTGAGGAAAGGAAAATCTGAGCCCACTATGCATTGGGCCCTGAACCCTTTTTATTTGATTTAAAGGTGTTGCTTATTTATGCTCCGGTGTTTATAGTCGTCTTATGTATAGATCTCTTCTTTCTTATATTTTTATTGCATATAAGTTGTTCTTGATTTTTTATTGTTTGTTGTTGGTCCTTAATTTAATCTGGTTAAGAGTAAGTTGGTCCTTGATTTAATCTGGTTGAGAGTAAGAGTAAGTTCCATATAAGTTGTTCTTGATCTTTTATTGTTATACTTGATCTAATCTTTTATTGTTTGTTTTTGGTTCTTGATCTTTTATTGTTTGTTGTTGGTCCCTTTTATTATCCTTGTGTGACACGGCTCTATAACCCGCTGAAAAGGTCTAGACTGGTTCATTTGCTTGCCTAATTAGAAATAACTCTCCATTTTGATTGTATCAATTTTTTTGGACAATATGGCCCTTACTGTTGTTGCATGGCAGGGTTGTCTTAACAAAAAGTTCTATCTATAGTTCATTCGGTGTTGTTGGAATAACATGATAATGTCCAGAAGAAGGATGTCAAAGTAGCGCAACCAACAATTTGTTTTCAAAGACTTCTAATTTTATCTTAAAACTATTAAGGTTGAGAAAATATGATTCACAATATCTAAAAACCTTTTATGCTATGGTTACTCTAATCAGTAATAAGAAAATACTTACTAAGTTCTATATATATGCATGTTGTGTAAATATATTGCTTAGGCTACTTGTGTGTTGGAGAATTATTAGATCATTTTCTGCATTAATACTGGCATCCACTCTTTCTTCTTTCTATATTCAAATTGTAGATAAAATGCATAAGTGGCATGCGCTTTGGTCCTTGTTTTCTCTTTATGTCGTACCACCTGTGATGATATTTTCTAGCTCTGTAATTTTCACACAGAAGGAGGGAGAGGGAGGGAGAAAGTACATTTAGTTGTTTCAATTTTAAACTACACTTGAGCCCATGTTCCTAATAGCCTCAAACTGATATATGTTTTGCCTTACATGAATTGAACTATGCTACTCTAAAATCAGAAAGCAGATAGCTGTAGGTTTAGTTTTTATTTAAAAGTAGTAGCTACCGTATACGTCAGACTGATGTAGATAGTAAATTGTAACATCTGCAAACCCCTGATGTAAACTAGCCAGTGTTTGTTCGTTAGTTTGGCAAAAATGTGTCGTTGTGGTCATGAGCCTCCAGTGAACTCCGAAGGACCTCCATTAGGAGGATGCCATCGCCAGACTGGCATCGAGCTGTGGTGAGCCCCCTCATCCTTTTCGCGTCCTTCCATGGGCCTCTCCTTCATGGTGCTGATATGGTGTGCTGCTGTCGGTGAGAGCAGGTGACAAGATGTGGTAGGATCCACCGGCCTCCCCTCCGACGAACAGCCCTTCTCCCTTGCCCTCAGCCTCGACACTGCCGCTGACGCCTCC